CTTGCATTCACACTAACAGCACTCACCCAAAAAATTATTGACACATTTTGTTCATCTAAATTTATTGTGGTGAAAAAAAATGTTAATGTAACTTCATAAATTGAGGAAGTATAACTGTTGATGAATTTGTATTATTTATGGTCTCTTCATTAGTCCAAGATCAGGCAGGGGGGGGGGGGGCTTAAAATCTTTTTACTCTCATTAATTAAAAAAATATCTTTATATTCTAAAATGTGTTTTTTTGTACTCTCATTAATTAAAAAAATATCTTTATATTCTAAAATGTGTTTTTTTTTACTCTCATTAATTAAAAAAAATATCATTATATTCTAAAATGTGTTACATTACATACATTGATTTATAATCATGTAATGCCACCTTTTTTCTTCCTCAGTCTGCTTCTGTTTTTTTGTTCGCAACACAAAACAGTAAAGCGCATTATATACAGTGGAGGAAATAATTACTTGATCCCCTGCTGATTTTGTAAGTTTGACCAATTACAAAGAAGTGAGCGGTCTATAATTTTTATGGTACCTTTATTTTAACAAACAGAGACAGAATATTTTAAAAAAAAGTCCAGAAAAAAACATTGTATAAAGTTATAAATTCATTTGCATTTGATTGAAGGAAATAAGTATTTGATCCCCTACAAACCAACATGATTTCTGGTTATCCACTCCACCACCATGGGTAAGATCAAAGAACTTTCAAAGGACATCAGGGACACAATTGTAGACCTGCACAAGGCTGGACTGGGCTATAAGACCATCAGCAAGAAGCTTGGTGAGAAGGAGAAACTGTTGGTGGAATTATAAGAAAATGGAAGAAATATAAACTAACCATCAATCGCCCTCTGTCTGGAGCTCCATGCAAGATCTCGCCTCGTGGGGTAAGGGTGATCATGAGAAGGGTGAGGGATCAACCCAGAACTACACGGGAGGAGCTTTGCAGCTAGGACCACAGTCACCAAGAAAACCATTGGTAACACACTGTGCTGGGATGGACTGAAATCCTTCGGTGCCCGCAAGGTCCGCATGCTCAGGAAGGCACATGTACAGGCCTGTCTGAAGTTTGCCAATGAACACCTAAATGATTCAGAGAAGCCTTGGGAGAAGGTGATGTGGTCAGATGAGACCAAATTGAACTCTTTGGCATAAACTCCAGTTGTTGTGTTTGGAGGGAGAGAAATGCTGAATACCAACCCAAGAACAACATCCCCACCGTCAAGTATGGAAGTGTAAACATTATGCTTTTGGGCTATTTCTCTGCTAAGGGTACAGGACAACTTCACCGCATTGAGGGGCCGATGGATGGGGCCATGTACTGTAAGATCTTGGACGAGAACCTCCTTTCCTCAGCCAGAGCACTGAGGATGGGTCTTGGATGGGTCTTCCAGCATGACAACAACCCGAAACATACGGCCAAGGCAACAAAGGAGTGGCTCAAGAAGAAGCACATTAAGGTCAAGGAGTGGCCTAGCCAGTCTCCAGAACTTAATCCTATTAAAAAAAAATTGTGGAGGGAGCTAAAAGTTCGAGTTGCAAAGCGACAGCCTCAAAACCTTCAGAATTTGGAGAGGATCTGTAAAGAGGAGTGGACCAAAATCCCTCCTGAGATGTGTACAAACCTGGTGACCAACTACAACAATCATCTGACTTCTGTGCTTGTCACAAGAGTTACTCCACCAAGTACTAAGTCATGTTTTGCATGGGGATCAAATACTTATTTCCTTCGATCAAATGCAAATTAATTTATAACTTTATGTAATTTTTTTTTCTGGACTTTTTTTTTTTATATATTCTGTCTCTGTTTGTTAAAATAAAAGTACCATAAAAATTATAGACCACTCACTTCTTTGTAATCGGGCAAACTTACAAAATCAGCAGGGGATCAAACAATTATTTCCTCCACTGTACATATGTACCTCTGAAAGCAGCACATTTCAGTACATTCATTTTTGCCATTTGACATTCACGGCGTAATTCAGTGAGAAATCTTTCCCAAACTAGTGGGAGGAAAAGTTGTGATTGTGTATTAATCTGTGTGCACATTGCTATAAAAAGGATACCGTTTCTGTATGCAGATTAAAGTTATTTTTTTCCACCCACCAATCGCTATGAAAAGTGTAACAATCTGAATTGCAGCGGTTTCTTTAAGTACAAATAATCAACAGAAAAACACAGCTCTTGTCTTTACATCATGGACTATTTTACATCTTTCCCACTACAGAACAGAACAAGGTTATACCTCAATCTCAGGTCTGTATTTACAATCCTACAGAGGAAGGTTTTCTAAAGGCAGTGTGTTTAAAAAAAACAACTAATAATGCATCAGCACTTAAAAATCAATCACTGCAGTAGTCCTTATGTATAAGAGTAAGCGTCTAGCTCTTCCTATCAATGAACTGCAGGTTAATGGGGGCAGAGGGGCAGAGCAGGCCGTGGGTTTTGGCCTCGACATCAGCAGTGAGAGGAGAAACACCAATGTGGAACTTTTGAATGAGCTGCAAAAGAGACAAAACACAAAAAATTCATTTAGATTGCATGTACCCTTTCAATTGTGACAAGTAGTCTCTAATTAGTGTGTATTTGAAAAAAAAGAAGATCTTTAGTGGCACAGCTGTTTTCCCCCCTACTTTTTATTAAAGCTAACCAATTTGGAGAATCATATTGATTTCAGAGGGGGTAATTCCTTGTTATCACTATGGCTGCCCAAACTGCATTTTTGAGATGCAATTAAAATGTGCCTTTTCCATGCAGATTGTTTTATCTATTTTGCACAGATATAATTATGCACAGGTTCTCAAAAAAGCTTCCTTGTTAAAAAAAAAAAAAAAAATACCGTATTTAAATATTAATCATTATGATACATGTCATCCTATTTTGGAGTCACTCACTTTGTGCTCAGACGTGATGCTCTGATGACACTGCAGATAATACTGAAAGTGTTGTAAACTATGGAATCAGAGTGCCCTCTGCTGGAAAAACTAATGATACCATTTCTAAATCACCTGAAGCAAAGAGTTTCTCATTGTACAGTATGCTCTGAAAAAAATCCAAACTGATCCTATAATATTGGCCAACAGATATATTTGTCGGGTTCTATTTTTCTCGTTTCAAAATGTTTATCAGTGTTTCGGATACAGCTTTCATTTATGGTTTCTTGATTGTCCATATTATTTAAGCATATTTGTGTGCATATATAAGAAGTCATTCCCATACCCTTGTGAGAGCGAGATGCATCTCTAACTCTGCTATTCTTCTCCCAATGCAGCTCCTGATGCCGTAGCCGAAGGGAATTGAACCAAAGTTGTCGACACGATCTGTGGAATCTTTCCTTATCCAGCGATCTGGACGGAAGTCTATAGCTTCGGGGAAGTTTTCTTCATCCATGGATGTGTGGTAGTGACAAAGAGCCAACTGAGTCTAACAAAGATGATAAAAAATTTTTTTAAAAAAAGAAGAAATTGGTTTGTGCTATGAAAACATCTTGGCTATTGTACATGCAGCTGTAAAAGAGACAGAAAGAGATGTACGAGTAATGCAGGATCATGTTACATCCAGCTCTCCTGTCCGGTTTTGGCTGCCTCATATGGTCACACTTTTTCCTCGTGCAATCTCTAAATTTACATCCTTTATGGTTCTATGATTCTTACCCCTTTGGGGATGAAGTATCCGCCCACCACCAAGTCATCCTGTGTGATCCGCCCGTTTCCTGGGAGGACTGGGAAAAGCCTGCTCCCAGGGAGAGACACAAAGACTTTTTATTCAACAGCCTTATACGTTAGTCTTACTAAGAAGTTCAACTCTAGGAAAAGTGGATTAATGAAAGGCAGGAAGAATTAACAAATGAAAAGGTACTCATGCAAACATCTTCAACAAAGGCAAGCAAGTCTTTTCACTTTGCAAATGAGGGCCAACAAAGAAGACAAACATGTGTTTACAGCAAGAGAAGAAATCTGAAAGAGGTTTCAAAACAACATGCATTCTGCACCTGAGAGTCTCTTTGACCAGCCCCCTGATGAGAGGAAGACGAGGGACATCATCAGCTGTGGCAATTGCTCCATGTCCCAGAGTATTCGTCACTTCTGTAAAGATTTGCTCCTGTATTTGAGGGTGTCGGGCTAACAGATAGCTGGCCCATGACAGGGTGAAGGACGTCTACAAGAAAATAAAGGTTTTGTTTTACTTTCATGTATTGATTCAACATTGTTATCGTTTAACAGCTCTCCTATTGGATATTTGTGAACCTTTTTTGTTGTTTTGCAACAGGTTTGACTGCAATTCAAGCTGACACAAGATGTTGTGCAAGTGTTAGGAAACTGGGAGGGGATCTGGCTATAAAAGTGGCTAAATCCACATGCTGAACAGACACACTGACACAATGGATTCAAAGAATTGAAAATAATCCTTAAAATGTCTAATGCACCCCCCCCCCCCCCTTGAAAACACTACCCACACAGACACTCCCTGACCATTTTCATCTGTTCTTTCCCTGCATGCTCATTTCATTTATCTCCTTTCTCTCAATTGTTACAGCTCTTCCTTTTTCTCAGACATTTGGCGTTGGCAGATGGGCAATGTTAAAAAAAATGTGTGCCACCTTTTCTCTATTCAAATCCTTTATTTACTGGCTGTACTGTAATGCCCTGTTACCTCAACACAAAACCTAATCATTTCCCTGGCATAATGTCCATCTTCCACTACAGCCCCTTTGCTTTTATACCCACTGTATATGCACTGCTAGAAAAGGGGCACATTTGATCTGCACAATGTTACAGTGTATAGACCCCAGAGTTCAGTGTGGGGGTGTTTTTCTCTGAGAGGACTAACTAATGTGCATAAAATCATTTTCCTTGTCCAAGTGCTGTCAGCTTTTTAACTTTCCCATATCCCACCTTCCCTGCTTAGACTCCCTCTCCCACTCTGTCACCACCCTCTTCCACTCATCTCCCCAACACGCATCTAATCATCCCCAGCTGGGACGGATGCTTGCAACACCTCAGACAAAGCCAGAGAGGAATCATATGACAAAAGCTCTTCCAAACACAACACAGACAGGCCCCTCTAACCCTGTGCCCTCCACATCTACTGTATCTATGTGACGCTAACTCCCAAATTTTTAAGCCATTTTATAACAGCGTCCCTCTTCCTCTTCCTCAGACCCCAGCCCTTTACTGTAATCTCACCTCTGTCCAGTCTGTGCAATAACTCTGGCTCTGACTAATGTGTCTTGACAGCTCTTGTGTATGCTGAGTAAAGGCGAGCACACCACAGGGTCAGGCAATGGCTCAGCTAAAAGCACCCCCTACCAGGCCGTGACCGTTGCAACAAGTTTAACAAAAACACACACTCTTTTATCCCATTGCCCCCAAGCTCAGAACAAAACACTCCACAGCCATAATTCTCATTAATCTGACAGTACCCCAAACAAATTAGACAGAGACTGTGCACACAGTGTAAATGCACACACACACACACACACACACACACACACACACACACACACACACATGTAGCAGACAGAGTGGGACAAGTTTTAAAAAATCATTCTGAATGAATGAATATTTCAGATAAGGATAGAAACTTTTTTTAGAAAAATTAATTACAAAAAAAAATTAATTACATTTTATTTATGTATTTTCATCATTCTGCCTCTAGTTGGCAAAGGATTTAACTGTGTAATAGAAACATCAAAGGTCCAAAAAAGATCCCCTGCTTCTTCACAGCATTTCTTATTGCTTTGTCCTTAAATTTGCATTAAAAAGTGATAAATAAGGGAATAATTTAATGTCATTAACCCCTAAAGTCTAAATTATTTTCAATTGAAACCCTTTTTAAGGCTGATTTTTTTTTTAAAAAACATACACAACACAGATGTCTGGCAGAGGGGAAAAAAGACAAAGCCCCCCCTGTGTGGATCTCACAGATGCAGACAAATGACAAGAAACTAAATCTGAGTGAGAACAAGTTTGTCAGTGGGATACTGTCTCACCCCCCCCGATTCACTGCTCTGACCTGACACTGGCACAGGCACACAGGCACAGATGTGGTGCCAGAAACCCAACTCCTGAAACTCAACACTGCCTCAAACACACACACACACACACACACACACACACACACACACACACACACACACACACACTCTCACACACACACACACACACACTCACACACTCACACAGACAGATAGTAACACACAAGTGCAACTTCCAAACCCTCCACACTCATTGCACCTTTACACTCCCTGAACTCCTCTCTGCATAAACTCTATGGAAAAACTCAAGCACACACACACACACACACACACACACACACACACACACACACACACACACCGTGTCAACGCCGGCCAGAAGCATCTCCGTTACATTGGCGTAAATCTCCTCTATGGTCATCTCCCTGGTAACTAGCATGTGTGTGAGCAGTCCACCCTTCACTTCCTCGCCCCGCTCCAGCTGGGCCTTAATCTCCGAGAGACGCTTATCAACGTGAATGAGGCCTGAGATTATAAAACAGAGACAGAGAGGGTGGGATGAATGGAGATGGGGAGGGGGTGTGTGAATGGGAGGTGAAGGAAAGGCAAGAGAGGAAAATAACATGTTATATAACAGAGGGACCCCAGCCTCCCACAATCCCCTGGTACAGCAGCAGAGATTTATATGCAAATCAACATTCCTTTCTATTGATGCCAGGCTTTTTATCTTTCAAATGTTTGCTTACCCAGATTTAATCTTTAATGTTTTAAGATTTCAAAAGTTCTGCATAGAAAGCGTTATCTAACATCTATACAACCTGGAAAACCAATCAAAGGCTATCTTTTTACAGGCAAAAGATTGTTGTACAGATGTCAGCAAACATTTAAGGTGGTACTTCAGGTACTCTGTCTGTTTATTTAAGCCATTACAAAAGAAATGTTTGGTGTGCATTAAATAACTCTTTTTCAAGCCACTCAGAAAAAAGGGGACAAAATGTTTAAAGGGACATAACATGAATTTTACACAAGAAGATAAATGAACTTATCAGTGGAAGTCTGAAAATTCTTTAAAAAATCCCAATAATGGTAATAGGCTCATCTCAGTCTGGGTTTAGGGACATCAGTTTCATAACAGAGTCTTCAGAGCATCTGGATTTCTCCGCTTCAGTTTCCTCTTTTGTAATCGATCCCTTGGGATTTCTCCTTATTTTTGCACGTGCAGTACAAAACAACTAGAATACCCTTTTAATGTGAATGAACACTGGTAACTACAGATTGACAATTCAGAGACGAAATACAAGTTTTACAAAAAGTTTCTATGTGGTCAAAAATCCCAACACCTACTGAATTTGAAGAGGCCGTCCCACGACTGACAGAACTCCTCCCATGGTTTGGGGATGATGGGGCGGAGCCATTTGGGGATCGCGCCGGCGTACATGGTTGTCTTGAAGGAGCTGAACATGAGGTGGAGTGCACCGATGTAGTCTTGTGTGTCCTCTGGAATCTGGTCTTGCAAGCAGCCCAGTCGGCATTCATATAAAATGGCTGCAACACCTGTAGGATAAAGGCGGGAAGCAGATCATCTTCAATCATCAATAATCTGTTCTGAACATCTGCAACAAGGTGTTTTAGTCATCACTTGTTTTCGGATGCAAGTTTCAACTAGTTTTGTCAACTAGAAAGGCATCACAAAGTAGAAAATGTAAATAGGAGAGAATAAAATAACAGTTTCAGGATCTTTACCAACCTTCCATGGCATATTTGAAGAAGAGATCATTCACATTGAGGACAGTTGCTCCATCTGTCTCCTGGGTGCGCAGAATACTGACTCTCTTGATCAGGTCATCCACCACTTGGTTCACATCATCAGAGAAGACTGCTACATCCCGGGGTCGCATGATGAGCTGTCTGAGCACACTCCGCATCTTCAGCCAGTCCTCTCCCTCCCTGGACAACAAGACACAGGAAACCAGGTGAATTTGGGGAAATTTTCATTCATGGTTAACACGTGATTTTCTGGAGAATCAAAGGCTAAATGTAGCCTTATTTCAGAGAATAACACAAGCAGACCGTTTAGAAGTAATAGTATGGAAATGTAGCCTTGACAACAAGTTTTGTACTGTTCCGTTCTGCACATATGGAACTCCAGTCCAACTCAAAAGTCATTTATTTCTGGAGCTTCAGTCTCACAAGTCGAAGATTAAAGGGGACTTACGCTGAGATGAGGCCTGTAGCACGGCCCCTCATGTCTCTGTACTCCTTCCAGGACTCCATGTTAGCTCTCTGAGGGGCCACACCTTCAGCCCTCAGCACCTCGGCCACCAGGTCACGATCCGCCACCGAGACCACCAGCTGGGGTCCAAAACGAGATTTGAAAATTTTGCCAAACTTCTTCGAGTGCTCCAACTGGAAAAGATGAGGAAAAGAAAAAACACAAATTAAGAAGATTTTAAATTGTATTTGTTTTAGTTGTTTTTACAAGTGGGTAGTTACTGTGTTACTGTGTGTTTTAAAGTGCTGTACAAATGTGGCATCACTGACTTACTTAGATTTACCTCTTGATGGACTTTAGAGAATACAGAATACATACATTTTACTTTATTGGGCTTACATATTTTTTATAAAATCTAATTATTACTTCCATCTTTTAAGGGTCATGTGTTCACAAACTTCACACAACTAATTAGTACGACTAGTATGAGGTTTATTGCTCCTTTTTGTTGGCAATTGCTTATTCTTATCTACAGAAGAGGACTTCTGCCATATTGTGAATGGATAGATACTTAATGGTATCCTCCAATACGGACTGAATTTGAATTTACTAATAGAATGTTTTATTAACTAAATCTACTTTTACCTTTATAGTCCAGTCATTTGGATAATTTAATAGTTTTAATGAAAGTATAAAGACTATGTTCCTTTCACTTTTACAGAACAATTATGTGATTTAAAAAATCCATATTAAGATGACTGTGGGCTGAGGAAACAAAAGTACTACTTCACAGACAATACGTTTAAAAAAAGAAGAAACAAACTCATTATTAAATGTAATTAAAAAGAGGGGTTATTTATCTGACTTAACGTTTTTCTTACAACATATGAGTCATTGTATTCGTCTTTAACTGTGTCAAGTTTCAGTAAACATTAGCACTGACTCGTTTCAATCTAAAGCAAACAACACAAGTAAAGGAAATTTTGCAAATTTCCAACTTTGTTAAGATTTTATCTACAGAGAGAACTGAACTCTTGAACGCATGATCATCTGCTGCATCTTGTAGTTCAGAGAACAAGTTCAGTGCCTCGTGTAACTCTTTAACATACTTCAACAAAATTCAAATTTTGAGATTCATAGGTGACAGGCGGCAAATCTCAGTGCGCTTGTGCGCAACGGCTGTGCCATTTCACGCATAGATGTCATAACTGGCTGAGGATGAGCTGGCTCTTTGCCAGTGATGGGAACAAAGACAGGGTTATATGAAAAAGCAATGACAAACGCCTGATTAGTCCTTTCTCGACATCATTACCTGGATGTTATGAATTCTGCTGAACCCGTCTCTCCAGAAGAACTCAATCAAGTTGGATAAGGTGCTGGGTCCAGGCATCTCCTCCAGGCTCTTGATTTGAGTTTTCTCGCCGACTTCTGTGATTATCCTCTCAGGCATCGCTCCTTCTCTGGTTGGGGACACCCCGTAAGACTCGCTGGCTGCAGACTTGTGTACGGCGCGTAAAAAGAAGAATACCTGATTGTGTAGCCGGTCTCCTTGAAAATATTTCAAACATGCTGTAAAATTATTCAGGAGGGCCATTTTTTATGATACTTTAGTTTCCGTGAGCACAAACGCTCGATGATTTAAGTTATTTTCAAAGTCTAAAAAAATAAATAAAAGTTTACTTCTGTTGATGTAAATTTCTGGCACGTGCAAACTCAGCGCGCTGTGCGTGGAAATGTTGGATAAGATTGAGATGTAGAGCGATTTTAAAGGGTTCCTTGCACAAGCTCTCAGAGGTGGAATAGGATTGGATGTTCGCCTCTTAAGAAGGGAGGGATAACATTGTATTCGGATGTGGGCGTTTCTTACCCCCAAAAAGCTGCTGAGTTCATTGTTCTGTCGGAGAAGCTCTTTACTTCGTGCCAAAGCACGGTTACGTCACAAGAATCACTCAGACTGCGTGCACATGTGCTCATACGCTCACACACACACACACACACACACACACACACACACACACACTGGATGGAAGTTAATGTGATCACATGAAGCCAAATTATATGTTTACATTAGTCAGCAAACAGAAAAGTGGAATCCCTCCCCAAGTCTGGATCATAAGCTAAAGCACAAATCATCCGCTGTTTACACTTATATGTTATTGCTGAGTGGTTTGTCAATGTTTACAGTTATATTTTATGAAATCATGAGAGACTGTATAAAATCCCTGGAAAGTTGTAAACTTGGAGCTCCTAAAGGCTTGAGCTACATATGAATTACAGTTTTTTTTGCTTGGAACTGAAAGGCAATTAAACCTCTCCCTAAGATAAATGGTATGCTAGTTTTCTTTAACTGCATAAGCTTTTTTTTTTTATTCAACTTGTTGTTTTTTTAGTAAAGGGACCTTGTACAATATTTCACATATTTGTTGCCAGTTCATGTATAGGACCAAACTAAAGTTAATTTACAATCTGCAGTCTCTGAAGACTTAAAAATACATTTGTTTTTTGGGGTGTTTTTTCTTCTTCTTACTTTTAGCCCAAACAGTTACAGTTAACAGATCTCATGAAACCATGCATCATTTCTAAGGATATGAATGAGCACATTTTGTATTCTACATTTTTTCTCCTTTACACTGTTGATACAGCATTCATTTCAGTGGTGCATCCACTCCCACTCTACTTGTTTCACCACACAAATTCAAATCTTCTTTACTACTTTCCCCTCAAAGTTAATAAACCTCAGTTTTCCAAAGAACAAACAAAGGGATTAAACCGGACAGGAGGAAAACGTGATAGCAGCCTCGCTGTATAATGTCATGTTTCATTTAATCATTCACTGTTTAAATAATATTTCAATTGTTAAACTCAATCTGGTCTGAGTGATCCTCCATCGAGGGAGGTCTGGATCAAAACAATGGCTTCTGGGAAGTCATAATTCATTCCTTATCGTAATCTTCTCTCTTACATTAAGGTCTGAACCTTTGATACTATTCACAATGCCCATCCTACTTACAGTAAAAAGAAATTTCAATATACAAATTCCATGAACCAAACCTGATACTCATCTGTACATTTACAACCACAGTAAGTTCACATGCAGTCAGGTCAAATAAGCTGACACAGGCAATGCTTTAATATTTAACACAATTCGCAGTAAACTGATTTAGGTAATCTGAGTTTATAGTATAATCATCTTCCTGGGGTTAATGTGTGGAAGAATGTGTAACAGCAGGCTAAAGATAAGAGGATATTTGATCGTGATCTAAGTGTTTGCCTCAATATAAGCACCTTGAGCTCCCTCATTAATTCAGTGGAAGCACAGAGAGAAGGTAAATAATCTGTCAATCAGTTGACCTGATCACTGGTTCACTTGGGGGAAAATGGCAGCTAAATTAGTTCATTCCATTCTTAACAAAGTGGTTTACCCTGTGGCTCAATATGATGTTGGCCTTGGGGTTGTCTTAGAAGTTCTGATAAATAAGCATGTATTCCCGCTGTTCATTTGCCCACAGATGTGAGGCTTAGAGAGCAAAACAGAGTGTTTTGGCGTAAGTGAATAGTTGAATCTTGTCACACCTCACCATTTCAATGAGTCATATAATGGTTTATACAACCAAAGTCTTATAATCTCTGATATATTTTTGTTCACAAAGAAATCATTTGTTCCCTGACCCGATGCTATATCTCTGAGTCAAAGCACATGTGAGACACTAGGCTAAGTTTCTTGTTACTGCAGGACTCACCTCTGCTAATAGGGCTTTTGTAATGCAGCCATTGTTCTGCAGATCCACTCTGTTGGCATAACTTTAGCCCAATTAGGAAGTTGAGGTCCACAGTCTTTCCAAAGTGTTTCCTAACAAGTGAGAGCGAGACCTTCTACCTTTAAATACTTCTGCATACAGATCATCACCCCTCCCCCCACTGGGGCACTCAGACCACAACCTGGTGAGACTGCAGCCCATTTACATACCTATGGTGAAAAAACAACCCCCCACAATCAGGTAAGTGAAGAAGTGGTCTAAGGAGGCCACTGAGGCGCTGCAGGACTGCTTTGACACCTGGGAGGTGCTGTGCAGCCCACATGGGGAGGACATCGACGGCTTGACACACTGTATCACAGATTACATAGACTTCTGTGTTGAGAACACTGTACCCACCAAAAAAATACAGTGTTTCTCCAACAACAAACCCTGGGTGACCCCTGAGCTGAAAACCCTGCTCAAAGAAAAGAGAAGGGTTTTTAGATCTGGAGATAGAGAGGAGCTGAGGAGGGTGCAGAAGGAGCTCAAGAAAGAAATCAAGGAGGGGAAAGCCAGCTACGGGGCAAAGATGGAGGAGCATTTACAACATGACACAGCCATTGTGGGGTGTGTGTCTAAGGGGAGCGAACAGCAGTACAGGCAGGTCATCATGGACTTTGTCGACCGGAGTGAGCTCAACCACCTTCAGCTCAACGCCAGCAAGACAAAGGAGATGGTGATTGACTTCTGCAGACTGCACCGGTGAACATCCAGGGTTTGGACATTGAGATGGTGGAGACCTACAAATACCTGGGTGTTCACCCCAACAATAAACTGGACTGGTCACACAACACAGACGTCCTGTACAAGAAGGGCCAATGTTGACTGCACCTGCTGAGGCGACTGAGGTCCTTTGGAGTGTGCAGGACTCTGCTACGGACTTTTTATGACACTGTGGTGGCGTCTGCACTTTTCCATGCAGTGGTCTGCTGGGGAGGAGGGAGCACAGAGAGAGACAGAAAGAGACTGAACAGACTGGTCAGGAGGGCCAGTTCTGTCTTGGACTATCCTCTGGACTCTGAAGAGGAGGTGGGTGAGAGGAGGATGTTAGTGAAGCTGACATCCATCATGGACAACCCCTCTCACCCCCCTACATGACACTGTGGGGGCTCTGAGCAGCTCCTTCAGCAGCAGACTCAGACACCCACCCCGCAAGACAGAGCGCTACCGCAGGTCATTCATCCCATCTGCTGTCAGACTGTTTAATCAGACTCTTTAACAGCATCACCACCTCATGACTCATTTCAATAATGCTACACACTGTGTGTTTTTAATAACAATAACTCTTTCCACAAGTGGAAGTGTAGGTACCATGTAATATTCTATTATTGTATTTTTTTATTTAACTGATGTAAATATGTTTGATTTTTAACTTCTATTTTTACTTTTAATAATTATATTCCTGTTTCCTGTTTTCTTGAGCTGCTGTAACACAAAAATTTCCATGAGATCAATAAAGTTTATCTTTATCTTTATCTTTTCTCCAGAAACTAAACAATTAGACATTTCCTTTAACACTACATTCTTTAAAAGAGACATTTCCAGTCCAGTGAAAACATCAGGAGCAGAGTGATTTCTGCAGATTTTGTTGTTGTTTTTATGTGTAAAATGTAGCCACAGGTGAAAGTCCAATATGAATGTGTTTTTTTTCTTCCTCTGATTCAGTTGCCAGTGAAGTGATCCCCATCAGCTGATAAAACAGATTACATGAAACAAATTATTCCACTTTGTGCCAAGTGACTTGGAGATGATCTTTTGTTTCTTGGAATGTTAATTAATAGAATCATTATGGTACATCTACACACAAAGTGCATGTGAGGTTTCTGCTAATATCCTGAGCCAGGCCCTGCTTTAATCTTAATCATTCAGAGAAAACTGGTTTCAGTAATCTGGGTTTAAATGCTTTGTTTTCTAATGAGCTGATGTAGGGAAAAATCAAAGTCAAGTTCAAGGAAAACTTTATCAGCAGTGAATCTGAAATAAACACAAATAACAACACATTTCACAACAAGGGGGGAGGATTTACATTATGCTGTTAATGGGACCAGTGGTACCAGTGGTACCAGGGACAAATGTAATGTGTAATTGCCTGCAGTATTTAAGAAAAAAATAAAATAATCTGATCCAACATTGATAGAATTAACCAATACTCAGATCAGCAGTAGTGTGGAGGGGAGGCACATGACTGATAGAAAAAGAGTGTGCCTCCTACAGGCCATTCAGCATGGTGGCGGAGTGAGTCATTCTAAATGGTACATTTATTTTTGATTGCCATGTTTACCTTAGAGGTATATATGGTTTTCATCTTCGGGTTGCATTTGAAGCGCTGGCTTTAAGAGTAAAGTGAGAGAGCTCAGACAAGTGGACAATGTTCAGAAAACTTCATCAATATTGAATGCCTCACTTTGTTATGCAGTGTTACACTTCTAAAACACTGTATGCAAGACAAAAGAGAAAAAGCTTATTTCCTTACATTATACGGCTGACAAAATAATCACACACTATTAAGACCTACAGCATTTAAGTATAGATGTGAGTTCATTTATTGGTCATATAAGATTCCATTTTAACTACAATAAGACTCACCTCTGCAAATTGGACTTTGGCAGTGTAATCATTAATCTACTTTTGCAGTTCCATCCAGCTGTCCTCATACTGTACATAGCTATGGTCTGATTGGGAACAAGGGACATGGCCCTTTTTCATCCCCTCTGACCAATGTAACAACACACAATTAAGCCTCAGTTTCATCAAAGAAATTGTGTGATTTAAAAATTGTCATGGGCTGTGAAATAGTAAATAATTTAACAGAATAGTTTTTGACAAAGTTGATCATGCTTATATGAAGAAAAGACTGATAAAGGTTGGATTTTAAAAGAAAATGACTTATCAGCCAGATTATAATGAACAGATTGATGCTTTCACTTCTAGATCCCTCAGTGTGTCCAAGGGTGTGCCACAGGGATCAATCCTGGGACCAACATTATTTATTTTATATCAAAAGTTTTGTTC